CTATCTATTTGTAACAGTCACTTACATTCTCAGGTCAAACTTTTTTCCACCAATCAGCAACGGATTATCGATATATCTTGATATCACATACGCATCTCTAGCTGATGGTGGAGCAAAATTAGCAGCTCGACTATCACGAGACCATTTCTTGATTTGAGACAATTTGTTGATCAGGAAAATTCCGATACCACGTGCCTGAAAAGTTTAAGTAATATCCGTTAATGAGTTCACACATTTACTCCCAACAAGGATTTAGACCAGCTGTTCTCAAACGATGAGGCACGTCCCGCGAGGGGTGTGTAGACAATTTCTAAAAAGAGCGTGAAGCTAATAAAAAACAAATATATTTGTTAGTTTTATCTTACCTGCCTTATAATTATTTACATTTCTTTTTTATGGATATTTACGCTCCATCTACGTATTTTATCTACATACTTTCGCCCTACTATCCTGTCATTACTTATCGATTTTAATCGGTAAGTATGTTGATAGGTATTTGTCTGTCTGTTTGTTTGTCTGTTAGATGCACGCGATATCTCACGAAAGCGAGATTGAATCTGCTCCAGATTTTGCATATGTGCATTCATCATATGTCGTACCAGAAGCCTATTGATTTTGGATGAACTATGTCGTATAATTAGCGAGTTATTAATTAATTAGTGATGGGACACAAGGTGTCACTATGGAGTAAGAGCGCTGTTTTAGAGGATCCCCTAACTATTGATCGATAAGTCTTCGGTCTCTGACCGATATTCTCGTACTTAGCTAGTTATTTTTGAGATAGCAGCTCAAAAAGTTTGAGACCCACGGCTCTAGACAGAACAATAATACACAAGTAGTTTTTATTTTTGGAACAGCTATTCCGTTCGGCATTGCCTACCGAATTTTGTGAACCCTGGGTTAGGAGGAATGGGGAATAAAAATGGGGGAATTCTAAAATTTATCTGGATATGAATTCCAACATATTTGGGTTCTTAAGCGATGCAGGAAGTAAACAAATTGTTATTTGAAAATAAAATCAAAGCCTGGGTTTTACACCTTTTCCAAGCGATTTATATCCCATCTCAATATAGCCAATAATGAGTGTTGGGTTCTGAGCCATTTGAATATGTGTCAATCAGTATTTTAAGTCTCACCGGAAGTCAGTTGATAACAAGTCTGAGTCACTCTCATAATATTTGGATGGTTCAAGTACGATCCTACCTTTGATAAATTGTGAATTGAGTGTCATAAACACTGTCAATAACTGTCACGATCATGGTTACAAACTCGACAATAAACACTCCTTACTTTTCCACATGGTTTCATAATCCAAGTACTTGACGGATTCTTTCTAAATTCTTCGACAAATAAGTTGTAATCAGCAGGAAGAAGGAAAGTAACAGGAATGAAATCGAGATGGATATACCGACCAGAATCATCCTGAAATATTTATAATTTATATTGAGGCTGTTTAAAATTCATCTACTCACAGAAATAGAATAGCCATACTTGGGTTCACAGTTGAATTTCATTCTAAATAATTTTGTGCAAAAGATAAGGATGAATAAAGATGAAAATGGACAGTTGTGGGATTTTCATATTCCCCTCGGGGAAAAGTCAATAAGACGGCTCAATTATATGGCAAATCACTGCCTCTCGTCCGGTTACCTCTCCATGTCGGGTATGGGATTAGTCAGCCAGTTATTTGTTTCAGATGCATGAACTTGATGATGAAGGAAATTATAATTGACCAGCTTTTACGTAGACCGGAGATGGCATAAAGTCCAGCAATCCTCTACCGCACAATCATTTCTCACAGGATTCAGATCTGCAAACCTCACAGGGAAATCAGAGGTGTGATGGCAAATCAATATCAAAAATTTCTGAATAAGCATGTCAATGTAGAATACCAGAAATAAGAAAAAACAGAAGAATTCAGAATAATACTTAAAAATTTACTTTTTCAGCCAACAAGCTTCCCTCCTTGTCCAATTCCTTGCGATATCTTTTGATATTTTTCACCATGAGATCTTTCCGAGTAAGTTCATAATGATTTGGGAAATGATTGATAATTTGATCATCTGACAGCCTGGATAAAAAAGTGAAATCAAACAAAATGTCGATTGATGGATCGATGGAAATTTGGGAATATGTTCAAATTTAATCTACCTCATGAATTAATATTGAACAATATCAATCAATCAATCATTTATTTCTGTACTCTGACATGAAAACAAAACAACACAAAAACTGGACAAACAAACAAAATGCAGAGAAGACTGGAAGACGAGCATACATTAAAACAAGAGAGCTATGCTAAAATATATGGACACGTAGAGTCACATAATTTTGATGACGTCATAGCGAAAAAAAAAGTAATAGCCTTCTGGAGAAAATTTTTATCTTTAACCACTGAAAATTTCAAAGCAATCGGTCCAGTATTCGAAGAGAAAAGTGACTTTTTAAAAACGTGTCAAAGAACAACAACAACAACATAATATTGAAACGATCGTTATGTTCACTACGTGTCCAATAAAGTTGAAAAACGTAAAAGTACGCACCCTCCAACCATCTGTGTCTACATATTATAATGGGATATTTTAACTAGTATCAGAGTAACGTTTCATTAATTTCCGGTGGTAGAAGAGTTTAGATCGCGTTAGAACAGCGTTTCCCAAACCAGGGCTCCATGGCCACCCCAAAGGGGCCAACAAAGCATTGGAGGGGGGACACAATGCTAGGCGCCAAACACATTTTACTTTTCTCTTTACATGAAAATCCTCGTTCTTCCTAGTTTCATTGCTTGGTGATTTTATCTCAGTTTTCTTTCACTTTGTTCAGCATGAATTATTTGAACATAACATGATTTGGAATCTATTAATCAAAACATCACTATACATATCACTCGAATGATAAATAGGGGGGGCTATGCGTGCTAAAAGCCCCTGAAATGAGTCCAAGTTGAGAACCACTACGCTAGGATAAACTGGTACCTGTATCCAGTTTCAAGGCTGAAGATATTTCTTGTCGTATTGACATTCGTCCAGTAAAAATTCCAGTCTTCATCAGCTGAAACCTGAAATAAGAATTCCATATAAACAGCTTCTTAATAGCTTAATGTCAATGGTCTTCCTCGCTTTATTATTGAGTTTATTTGTGAACTCTGGTATAGGATACTTCAGTAATTCAGTGTTTAAAATAGAATCATAGTACAGTAGTAAGTGCATAGTGGGCGTAGCATAACAATTTTTTCACATGCCAATCCTAACTCTCACTTGACTACGGCATCCAAAAATTACGTTACTACGACGTCACAATCAAGTTTTAGAGCTTGCCAAAGTATACCTACGATCGCTCAAAATGGCATCTGCGCTGATGATGCAGGAACCGACTAATGCCAGCGATCTCTCTTATATTGAGATCGTTGTGACGAGAAAATTAGCTTACTTGATTTCGGGAAAACGTCGACATGTCTTGGATGACAGTTCGCATAGTTCGAAGGGGCCCTATTTCGTCACCGTGACATCGTAGCGACCTAATTTTTCAACGACGCAGTCGGGTTTGAGTTAGGATTAACATATGCAAAAATTGTCCTGCTACGTCCACTAGAAGTGGGATAGGTACGGTACAAAACTACACTAGACTCTTTTGCGCTAGTAATTACAGAATTAACAGGACTAATAAATTGATTGCATATGCCTATGTTTGTATGCAGTGGTGGAATTCAGCCGGTTCTATGGAATGATGATCATGTGCAAGAGGATTGCTGAACTCCTCGCCCCCGTAGGATGGTTCACATATGGTAACCGCTGGTCGGTTACGGCTTCCTCCACCTGTCCACCATCAAGTCCATGCTTTCGAATGCAAATAACTGGCTAACTAATCCTATACCCGACCTGGACTGGTAACCGGACGAGAGGCCGTGGTTCGCCATATGATTAAGCTGTCTTATCGGCTCTTCTCTCCCCCGCGATACCGTAATTATGTAAATCCTACCCTTTCCTAACCATCCACAGAAATTTATGAGATCAGCGAACCGATTGGCATTAGGATAGGATTTACATATTTATCCCGAGGGAGAGGAAAGCCGATAAGAGGGCTTATCCATATGGCGGACCACGGCCACTCGTCCGGTTACCATTCCAAGTCCGGTATGGGATTAGTTATATTGTTTGTTTTCGGAAGCATGGACTTGGTGGTGGAGGAAGCCGTAACCGACCAGCGGTTACGTGAACCACCCAATGACGGCGAGGAGTCAGCAATCCTCTCGCACATAACCATCCCTGCATGGGATTCAAACTTGCAAACCCAAGCAGAGCAATTAGAGGTGCGGTGGCGAGCGTATTTCTAACGCTTAGCCCGTTGAGCCACACCGCCACGCATGGTGGTTACTGTCAATGCACATTGTTCTGTTTGCAATAGAACCGGCTGAAAAATGTGACTTTTGTGAAGGGACTGGCTGACAAAAAATTTGAATACCACCACTGTCTGTATTTGCAGTGAAATTTGCCCTTCTATTGCATTAGTACCTACGCTTGTAATTTAAAAAAATCCACTCCTGAATAGAATTATTTTGAATTCTAAACCAAATCAAATTATACGAGCCTACTTACCTGCGACCAACCTCGCTTCTCGAAATTATTAACAAGAACGGACTTTTCCATGTCAGTAGCATATTTCACTTTTCCGGACATTTTTAAAGTCCTATTTTAGCAAAATTCAACAAAAAACTTCCAGGCCCCAACAGATTAATGTGCCGAGTTAAACTCACTCATGCGCGAAAGCGTCAGTTCGCGATAGTAACGAACAGTTGCCGAGTGGCCCAAGTAAATATGGCGCTGCGTATTGAAATATTTCATATAATAGTAAATGCTTTCAATCTACATTTCATAGTTTTAAATAAGTGATAAAATACATGGTTCTTATTTCAAAATTTTCTACATTAATTTTTGACACATGTTTTGATGCTGCAAATACTGCGTTGTGGTTTTTCATTTTAAAAGGAACATCATACAAAAATATTTGCGTTGGAAGTTGTACCGATCGTGGTTATGTACTACCAAAGTGGAAATCACTGAACTGTCAAAGCATTCTAGCATGCAACACCATGGACTTCAACCCTTTCCGACTGAACTTTAAAACCGTAATACCAGAGCCATTATATAACGGCTCTGGTAATACGACAACGACAAGTAAAGCATCAGACAGACAGGACATTGGGAACCAATGAAATCTTCAAAGCATAAAAACTGAGTATTATTGGAGACATTCCAAGTGGAAAAGTCAAACGAAAAAGCGTGCTTGAGAACACAGAGTCCTCTTGTATCTGAAGTAAGTTAAATGATGAATAACACAATTACTTCAGTTGAATTTATTAAGAATTATTGAATTCAATTTTCAATCCTTAGGTCTGCTTGAAATCCCAAATATCAGGCACGGGCATGAACGGGTAGGGCAAGGCCAGTGGTGAGATTCAGCCGGTTCAAAAGAACCGTCTCACGGAATTTTATGAGATCAGCGAACCGGTTAGCATTACTGGCTACTGCCAATATTCTGTTTGTATCAGAACCAGATGAAAAATATGAGCTTTGTGAAAGAACCGGCTGACAAAATATTTGAATCCCACCACTGGGCATGGCGAAATAGCGAGCAAGCCCATATTTACTTAGATAGAAGATGATATCCGAAGTGTTGCATCTCCACAAAAATGAGGGCTAACTTTTTTCCCAAATAAATTCCCTGGAGCAATTTTCCGCCAAATCTTCTACAACTGTATGGAGATGGTAAACAACCCAGCTCTACACATCGAAATAAAATGGTACGAACTACGAATAATGTCTTAATGTAATTTTAAAAAATCTGGAGGGCCCAATATTTGCTATTCAAACAGATAATCCCAACAAAAAAGTGAATACTATTTTAAACAGGCGATGGCCGCAAAACCTAATGAAGAAACCTGGTTGGTAACACAAATACCAACGGTAGACTTGACGAAAATGGTGAGCAAGCTCAAATTGACGATGGAAGATCGTATAAAATCTCCGGTAAAGAAAACATACAACTTACCAAGTTTTAAGTGAATTTGTATTATTACGAGATTCGTAATATTCTAAAGAAATAATTGTAAAAACTAGAGCGTAATCAAAAATGACACATAAAAACACTCAATATATCAGAAACTTGGTACATAATTATGTGAAGCAAATTTGGACCCACAAAGTTCATTCATATAAAATAACGTTTAACGCCTTTTATTATGGAAAAATTATTTGTAGGTATTCTCAGGATCTGCACATCTGAATTTATATTCGAAAACCGCAATCTCTGGAAGATTTTCGATCACCAACGAAAAATTCTGTGGAAAAATTATTTTCACAGAATTCTTGAGAGAGGACAAGTTTGCAAGCATGCTGGTCGAAGTATGCTGGTTTAAAATGATCGATTATATTCCATTAGGCTTTGAAGTTGAACCCGTTCCAATCGTCGCGCAGGTTTGCGTTGAAGATGTTCATAGTTCAGTGTTTTCCCATTTAGCAGTCTTTTTGAACAGGAAGGATTAGTTTGAGGGCGTCACTACCATGGATTCGTCAGATACTGTAATCTGCAAACGAGTGACAAATTGCTACAACAGTCGTCAACATTTGTTCGGTTCTCCATTTGATAAACAACTCCTTAAAGCAGTTGCACAGTAGACAGACTTTTTTCCTATTATTCTGCATAAATTTTATTACGAAAAGTGCCGTATAATTTTTCGTGTTTATGTGGTTCATGCGTTCTACAGCAGCTTCAATTATGAACTGTCACTTCACTGATTTTCAATTGTACTGTTTCGTCGCCTTGGACTGTTAAATATTGTCAGTTGTGTTTGTTGTGCTAGCTATTTTTGTTTATTACTTTTTGTAAGGTATATTTGACTGTCATGTATTTCCGATTGTAAACCTGCTATGATGCTACCTGCTCAGATATAGATCAGGCTATTTGAACGCTGTAATAAATAAAGGCTGGTTTTCATATTTATTGCTGCAAAAACTTGCAACTGCAGGAATTGGAAAGTTCTGCGCAGTTTGACATTCAGCAAACTACCAAACAAAATATTTCAATTTTGAAATTTATTCGAAATAGTGTTTGAGAGATCATACTCATAAACATGATTATATACATGAAAAAAGTTTATTTTTGGATGCATCGAAAATCAAGGTCAGACCATGGCCAGCAGATGCCAATACTTTTGCGTCATCAATATTACCTTTACATTTCATGATTCGACAGAATTCATTTACCATAAACCAGTGCTCTTCAAACTTTTTGGTATTGTGGAACCCCTGATATAATTTTTCGCTTTTCATGGAACCTCAATTAACAAAATTAAAAAAAATTCTATCTTTGGCAATTGAATTACATTTGGTTCGCTTCGGAGGAGCAGGTGCCGCTTTTGCATTTGAACTTCTTTGCTCATTGCCGTCCTAACCCTCACCGTTGTTATTATTTCGCCTCACATAAGAAAATATACTATTTTGCTTCATCTGTATTGAATAAATATCAGAAAGTTGAGTTTCACACTATCGTTACTATATTCCAACAAAAGCTGAACAACATCTCTAGTACTATATACTATCTCTAGTCTCGAGCAATATCTACATACTTTGAACATCATGTAGGTGCAACAATAGCGTTCTTGTTAGTTGCATAACAATGACTAAAGTGACGGAACAACCGAAAATATCTCTGTTTTGTCTATTAACTGCACTGTGCCTAAACCTCCTGTTTAACGAACTGGCCTACTTGACTGGCCTGAGTTTGAATGAGACACGGTGGTCTAAGAATATTTATAATGACGCATCAACATGCTGAAAGCAAGAAATGATTTCCCCTGAAAAAAAAACAAAACAAAAAAACGCGGAACTCCTAAGAAACCCTATAAACTCAGGGAACCCCACTGCATGTATTGCGGAACCCTAGGGTTCCGCGGAACCCCTGTTGAAGAGCACTGCCATAAACCCATTCTCGTGCCTGTACTAAGATATCATACCGCGAAGATAAAGTGTCCGCTGTGGGACCAAGCCTGAAAAATGGAGATCCTTGCTGAGAAGGCAATTCAGCTCTTTGTAGTAATACATTAATTGGCTGTTAAGGTTTTCTGTACACTGTATTATAATTCCTTAACATTCTCTTTGTATTAAATATCCAACAATAAAACTCAGTAAGCCTAGCCTAGGCTACCTACACAAACGGGCAGTGCACTATTCTCTTAGACTGTGACGCAACAAAGATAAAAAATGTGACAGCCACCAAGGTTGTACAATGACGATTCGCTGCACACCGAAAGTGGGAATCGACGGAAAATGTCGCCTGCAGCAAGATTTTACGTTGGGAATCCAAGTCCACATACATATAGCGTCAATAAATTGAATTGTCGAAGACGCAAATAACCATTTTGGATATCAAATATGTTGCGTTCTGAATCTGAGTAAGAGTAGCTTATTTGAGATTAACCATGCCCTAATACAGCAAAGTTGTCAAAATCTTTTCCGCAGTTCTATACCTCTCCGTACATATGAACAAATAGATTACACAAAAGGTTTTAATGTGTTGAAGCTATAACAGAATTCATTTTACTAAAGACCGTGGGTAACTTGCAAAAACATCACGTTTCCAGCATGAGGGTTTGGCAGTCAACGTCGTGTTACATTATCTCAAAATTGATGCTGTGTAAAACAGTCTCCGAGATTATAAGTGTGGCTCTCTGCGTTCATCGAATTCAATGGTCAATATATAATCGTTATTGGTTTGCGGGGTGGAGCAGATTTGCGGGTATTTTATTTAGGATTTGCTGAGAGCACAGCCTATCCTGTTGAGTAGTACAATGCATTAGCTTCACAAGTATCTAAGGAAGATTTTGCAGGATTAAGTAACACCCACATTGCACTGAATTCCTCGTTTCTGTTTTTTCAGCTTTACATTGCTGGTTTTGTATATTGGTATTGATAAACTCGAGCAAATGTAGTGTATCGTCGTTCTCATAATTGGTCGGGGTAGTCCATACGGATATTATCTTCATAGACGTACGAAATTCCGTGGGTTTAGAATGTTGAGATCGTTTGTCAGGAATCTGGAGCATAATTAAATATATTACAAAGACCCTTTAAGACAATTCTTTTAATTAATTAAGATGTGAACCAAGATTTTTCCCATTATTATTTGTAAAAATAAGTTTTCCAAAGTATCCTGGGTTAGCCTTATTTCTCTGAATCATAAACTTCTGATGTGAAACACTGCACGTGCTTTTATCCAGTCCTAACAAATTTCATCTTTTCCTGGTATTGATAAACTCGAGCAAAGGTTATTTTCATGAATGGTCGAAATGGTCTTGAATTGGGACACGGAAATAAACTTTACAGCCATACGAAATTAAGAGGATTTGTGGTGTTGAATTCTTTTGCCATGACCCTGAAGCGTAATTAAATATTCTACAGTACAAACCTTTTTTCCTATTAATCATATAACGTGAACCAAGATTTTTGTTTCATTAATACTTGTGAAAATAAGTTTTCCAGAGCATCCTACGTTAGCGTTCCCGCCACAAATCACAAACCACTGATGTCGACGGAAAATTGTTTTTCTCGGGTTGTAAGACAGGCTATACGGAAATTACATCCAGTTCTGGCAAATTTCATACTTTTCATAACATGCAATGCCTGAATGAAACATCGGTTTCAAAAATGTCAAATGTAGATATTTTTTTTGTGTTTGACGCTCCGCTTCTTATTCCAAAAAAGCTGCAA